GTCAGGACCTGCCAGAGCCTTCCAGGACCTGAGCCTGTCAGGACCTGAGCCCGTCAGGACCTGCCAGAGCCTTCCAGGACCTGAGCCTGTCAGGACCTGCCAGGACCTGAGCCCGTCAGGACCTGAGCCCGTCAGGACCTGAGCCCGTCAGGACCCACCAGGACCTGCCAGGACCAGAACCTGCCAGGACTCGTCTCTTTTTGAGCCGTCGGTTCGATTCTACAAGTGTCAGTAAGACGTTTGTTAACCCGTTGACCCCCCTGCCTGTGTTTATTCTTAACGTTGTTTCAGTCGCAGCTACAATCGTGTGTTGCTGCATCTTGAAATCAAAACTTATTGAATCAAAACTTTCATTACAAATAATAAAACCAATAAAAACTTTATTTCTGTTCTTCCTGTTGGCATTACCTCGAGCATCCCGTCAGCGCTCCTGTGATTTCTGTAACGTTTTTCAGCTGCAGATGAAACAAAGTGTTTTCAGTCATCCTCGTTTCTGCTCACCTTCCTCTGAGCTGTCGGCTTCGTCCGAGTCTTCATCTTTGATCAGCACCACCTCTGAGAGCTGCAGACACCACCCAGAACAAGACGGAGTAAGTTTCACTGACTGTAAACATGAAACAAGTCACCGACACGTCGACCTGCGTCCTTTAAACACAGATCAGGGAGACTGAACGGTTGTCGTGGTCCTGTACAAAGATCAGTTTCACTGGAAAATTATCAGCTTAAAGTCTCCAGCTGCCACAGATCGAATGCTGCATCTATATATTATAACGCTGCATCTATATATTATAACGCAGCATCTATATATTATAACGCTGCATCTATATATTATAATGCAGCATCTATATATTATAACGCAGCATCTATATATTATAACGCTGCATCTATATATTATAATGCAGCATCTATATATTATAACGCAGCATCTATATGTTATAACGCAGCATCTATATATTATAACGCAGCATCTATATATTATAATGCAGCATCTATATATTATAATGCAGC